GCCAGCCTGGCGACTCCCCACTCTGACTCAATGGAGAACCTACGGCTCAAGGGCCTTGTGACAGAGGGTGAGTCCAAAATGACCAATTCATAACCAGAACTCTCCAGAGTACTAGGCGCACCTTCCTGAATGATGCGTAAGAGCTGAGGGGTGCACTGAACGAGATGGGGGACAGGCCTGGTGGAGGGAAGGACAGGCCGTGACAGGTCCCGCCTGTATTCTGGGTGAAGCGGGAGCCATGTCAGAATTCAGCAAAAACCCAGCACAGCTTGGGTGTGAGGAGCCATCTGCTGAGACTGGATGGCCAGGCGACAGGGCCCGAGGCCAGGACACCGAGCAGGCGGGGGTGGTCACGCGGGTGAAAGTGGAGAGGGCCTGGACTTGCTGAGGCAGACCCACAGGAGTCCTGCTGGCCTGGACGGGGGGAGAGGTGTCGCGGTGGTTTCAGGGCGTCAAAGAAAAGCTGCCATTAACTGGGGTGGGGAGAATGCAGGGGGCAAAGGAGGAGGAGGATATTATCAGGAACTTGACTTAGATCATGTCCGTGTGAAATATTAGCCAGACAGGAAGGACACAGCGGCACACACTCCCAGAAGCAACCCTGGCCCCGCCACCCTCAGCAATACTCAAGACCTGGGGGTGTGCCTGATGCCGGCCACGTGGGAGGCCGGCGCCCCGGCCTGCAGGACGGATGGAGAGGCTGGGACCTGGTAGGGATCTTCTCCCTGTAAGTGTTTAGATGAAAATGTGAGTATCTCTGATCTACTAATCATATCTCTAAAGATTTCTTGCTGGGAAACTGTCTGGGAATGTGCACAGACATTTCTCTTTGAGAATGCTTACAAGAGTGTCACATAAGGAAAAAACAACAAATTAATCAAATCTGATACGTCCCTATTAAGGAATATAATTACTAAAAGCTATTAAGAAAATCCTCAACGACACTGAGATTTTAGACCTCACAAGGCAAGTCACAAACAGCGTACAATACCCCAGTTGAGGAACAAATTTAGTACCCGAAGGAGCAGGCGAGAGGCAGACCCCGAGCGGCGGTTCTGCCTCCGCTCAGGGCTTTACGTTACTGCCCAGTAGTTTGATTGCTTTTGTTTTCAGAATGAAAAGCACCTTTAAATTACACAGGGAGGCCCTCTCTGGTGGTGCAGTGGGTTAAAGCACAGCACTGAGAATCTAAAGCCGCTTCCACATGAGTTCGATTCCCGCCTGCCCCGGAGGTGACCACATGGCGCGGCAGACCTCTCCTGACCCGCCCGCTGCTCCCCTCAGCAGTGTACTTCGTCGATCTGCCTGTTCTGTTCCCCACTCTGTCTCTGGTGAAGCCTCTCACCGCCCCTGAGCCTCTGGCCTGTACCCCAGTTCTGTATTCACAAATAAATAAATCTTTAAAAAAAAAAAATTACACAGGGAGTGGCTTACATCCCTCCTGGTATGAAGAATAGCTGTGCCCAGCACCTTGTCCTGAAGAGACGGTGAGGGACACCCATGCGGACAGCTGGTCAGCTGCCTCCCGGCCTCTCCCCGGCTACGGACATCAGGCTGCGGGCTTGCTGAGCTGAGCCAGGCCCACCGCAGGGGCTCAGCCCGCAAGCCCGCAGCGCAGGCCCATCAGGAAGGGGGAGCATACGCCACCGTGCGCTACGAAACACTAGGATTTAACCAAGCCAGGCCCTCCAGGGACCTCAGGTTTCACTTTGCACTGCTGTATTTCAAAAACACTTGCAGAAATGACAACTTTGTACATCTTTGAACAAATATATATTCAGCAGAAAAACGACAAAAGAAAGGTAAAGCAAAATTAACTCACCTGATTCCTAACAGGTACCAAGCACCTCTCCACCCTCTTCTACATTACCGGGGGAGACCTCCCGGCAGGAACTTTCCACTGCATTCCACCTGCAATCAGCTCTGATTCCTGTGAGCAACAGCCCAGGCTCACATGCAGAGCTGCCTTTCAATGCAGCTGACAAAGGTGGCTACAGAAAATTCATTCCATGTTTTCAACAATTTTAGGTACAAAATGCACGCTCTCTAGACCTTAATGCCAGTGGGCTATTTAAAAAAAGAAATAACAAACCACTAGTAATTCCTAAACACAGCAAGTGACTCATTGAAAATCTCCCACATCTATTATTTGTGTTATATAGACAAATTACTAAGAAGCTGCCACATAAAACAGAAATGGAAAACTTTAGCAGAAAACCAAAATTGCCAAAAATTCTAAAGGAAAGTTTCTCATAAAATTAGATAATTAGCTGTCCAAGAACAAACACCCTTTACAAGAAGCAGAATTACTCCAAACCTGCACCACGACAAAGTGTTGCTGTCCTAACCAAAGTATCAGTTACCTTTAATAATAAACAGGCATTTCTCCTTCAGTATTTCATCCAAAGACAGGCATATTTTCAATCCTGGAGATGAGCCAGAATGGGCAGGTCAACTCACAGACGCCTATTGCCCCCCCTAAGTTCACATTATTTTTCACATAATCAAAATGAGGTCAGCAAGGGAGCTACATGTCTCAGAAACTGAGTTCTGACCAGCCAACACCAACAGTCTCGCAAGGAGCTTTCACTGAGACTGAGGACCAGAACACAGCCTCAGCCAGCAGAGCCAGGCCTGTTCCTCACACCTGCAGGGCTGCAGAAACCTTCCCTTCACCGCATGCTCTGACGGTGTGTCCCCAGAGTCCCTGGCTTGTTCTTGGTTTCCCATTTGGCGCTCAGCACACACCCAGCGGCCAGCGGGCGCCTGCTAATGCGCGAGGCCCTGTTAACGCAATGGCCGCTCTCTCGCGACAAGATCGCAAAGGAAGCAACTTTTACGCCCTGTAAACATGAATTATACTATCTATGTATTTAAAATATACAGTGTCGTCAAGACTAAAAAATAAGTGATGAATTACACTGTGCTACTGAGTAAAAGGGAAAAAGCCATCTTGAGAGATGCTGCTGCTGAAGCTGCCTCTAGAGGAAACGTGGGCAAGCTGCTCCTGCGGAGAGGAGGGAGCAGGGCCGGGCTGGAAGGGAGGCGCCAGCCGCTCTCCGCCTGTCCGGCTTTATGCCAGGTAAAGGAATGTCTCACCTGTTCTTGAGGATCAAGATAATGGGTTTGACCTTGATAATGCATATAAACGTGAACAATTTCAGAGGTAGGCCTTCTAAAATAATCTGCCATTAAGAAAAACATTATGGTCCCTCCCTGGTGGCGCAACAGGTTAAAGAGCTGCATCACAGCAGCATGAGCTCAACCCCCCCCCCCAGGGAGCTGACCCAC